TCGGTTAACCGGGGTAAAAAAATCTTAAAAACCGTAACCGAACCGAACCGAGCAAATACTTCCTTTGAGGTATTTGTAACCGAACCGAGTAACCCGGTTAACCGAAAATTCGGTTCGATTTCGATTCGGATCTACGATTCAGCGGTTCGGTTCGAATTTTTTGCCCAGCCTTATAAATTAATATTCTTTAGAGCAACTACAATAATTTGAGTCTCTTTTTGCATATGTGGCAAATAAATAGACTTAAGTCCATAATGACATATACAAATCCAAACTAAAAAATCTAAAATATATCCAATGCAAAACAAAAAAATACTAGGTCTAGAATACTAAACAACTAATAAAAATAAAGTAATAATAAATGCATACAAAAAAATATGTTTTGCCTATTTAAAAAAAAAATTGTGAACAATTGTTGACTAGGCAGGTTTGTGCTTGGGTCCAAAATAGACTCAAGAGTTGACTTGGTCTATTTTTTCTAGTGCCACATAAGCTAGACCATGTCTACTTTTTGTTGCATTTGAATACATCTTTCTATAAACTAAGTCTATTTCTTACGTGACACTTGATTTTTTTTAAGAGACCCAAAACATTGTGGGTGCTCTTATAGAAAAATAATTATGCTTGAATTTTATTTAATGTCTATATTTTTCATGTTAAATCCATCTTGATATCTTTCTTTTTTTATTCTACAATTAGTTACCAAAAATGTTATGTTTTATTTTCCTACATTACCATATATTACATTTCCTTTTCTTATTCAATTCACATCAATTATTATAAAATGTTTCTTCTTATTATTTTGTTATAACTTTTTTGTTTGTATTTTTTTTCATACATTATATATCAAATTTTCTATCTTTTAACGATCTTCGATTTAACATCCATATTATGTATATAATAAATAAAGTGATATATATAATATGTCGTTAAAAATAAAATTTAAATTTATTTATCAATCTAAATTAAAAATCAAATAAAATTATAAATTATCTTATAAAGTAATATGTGTATTAACATACCATAAATAATTTTTTTCTTTTACTTGAAAAAATATGTCAACTAAGTATGAACATCAAATTAATATAAAAAAAATTCTAAAAGGTTATCTCTCAACTTAAGTAAAGAATACATAGAGAATGAACATTATAATTAGAACAATAAAAATAATTATTATATTTCATGAAGTTTAAACTCATACACATTATATTTAAAATGATTGAATATTATAAAGTTGAAGTTAAAAAAATATTAGATGATGGAAGAAAATTGTATAAAATATAATACATAATTATAATATAATTAAAATTGTAAAAATAAATTAATTCAAAATAAATTATCGAGTTGTAAATAATATATATATATATATATATATATATATATATGGAATGTTGAAAATAATTATCATTTTGACAAATCGAATATAAAAATGGGTATTATTTTAAATAATTAACTTTATATTTTTTATTTATTAATTTTATGTTTAAATTTTATCATTCTAAATATTAATTTATTTACTTCTTTATTTTGATAAAATACTTATTTTTCAAGAATCGATGTTGTTCACGAGCCTTAGATAACTAGTGAATAAATTAATTATTCGATTTAATTTTGATAAAAAGAATATATATGAAATAGAAAAAATAATTCTTCATAAAAATATTTTTTAGAATTCAAAATAATATTAAAAAATATTTGTATATAACTATTTATGGTTTTTTACCTCACAATAAAAATTTAAATCTGTTTTCATTTTTTTGTTGGACAATTAATTTTTTATAAAACACACGTGTAGTTTGGGTGTTGTACTAGTTTTAAATAAAAAACGTCATAAAAAATCACACCCGAATGCTACATCAAGACTTAAGATTTTCAATTAAATCTCAAAATTTTAAAAGTCTTGTTGGTATGGCTCATATATTGACAAAGGAAGAGGGCAGACTGATGCCTGCGAGCGTAACGGAGCGAACGTAGCGAGGGAAGCGGAGCGACCGAGCGAAGTGAGCGGAGTTGAGCGAGCAGGCATCAGCCCTTGTTGGGCTGGGTCGATTAGTTGGGCCGGGGGTGCGGGGGCGGAGACACCGCGGTATAGACGGGGGTGCGGGGGCAGAGTCCCCGCGGTACGGTACAGGGTATTTAAGTAAATTTATAGCTTGTAGGGTTTTAGTATAAATATATGGTGTATTGATGTATTTGATACGATTTAGAATAATAAAAGATCCCTCAGCCGCCGTGGACGTAGGCACATTGCCGAACCACGTAAATCTTGTGTAACTTTCTCGTTTTTTTTTTTTTAATTCGTGTGTCATATTGTCATCTTCACTCAACAAGTCTCAAATTTCAAAAGGTCTTAAAATTTCAAACGAAGACTCTCCATAGACATTGTCATTTTTTTGGTCCCCAAAATCGAATATTTCAAATTAAGTGATTTTGAAGTAAAATGCACAACAATTTATCCAATATTTCAAAATTACTTATCCCAAAATCAAACGCTAGCAATTAAATATTACAAATTGTGTATTTTTGTAATTAAATTCTCATCGAATCTCTTGAAATTATATGTCCCCATAATCAAGCGTACGTTATGTAGTTTATAAAATGACATATATCAAATATTACAAATTATGTATTTTTGTAATTAAATTGTTGACATGGTTTTTGGTAAACCAAGTTAGTAATGTTTATTAGGTTTTTATGCTCAGTTTATGCTCAGTAAATAGAAGATTATATTCTCTCAAAAGGTTAATATCTTCGCGGGCCCCAAAGCAACCACATATCGGGTTAGAATGACACAAGAACCGACATCTTCATCAACTAACCGACATCTCATATCGGTTATGACATGTCGGTTATGGCTTATCGAGCCGATATCTATGACTTGCCGATCCGACATCATAAGGCGGTGCCAACTCAGCACAAGTCATCATTACACCTTGCCAAGTGGCGCGCTGCAAAGATAAATGACAATTAGTCGCCATTGACTTTTCTCATGTAATGATTACATTTATGATAAATGTTGTAAATAAATATAAAAGGGAGAAAAGAAGCTCTCCGGACGGGATATACAAGAAAAACCATACTATAATATTCAATACACTCTGCTTCTCAACTTGGATGTTATTCATTAATCTGTCTTGAATACCCATTGCACTTATCATTATATTACCGTTGGTAATCCTCATATAACAACATAAATTCTCATCAAATCTCTTGAAATTACATGTCCTCATAATCGAGCGTTATGTAGTTTATAAAATGACATACATAATATTTATCTCGAAATTATATGTAATATAATTTACCTATTACATTTTAACTAAAATACATACGTCTTTCAATACTTATGTCAAATTTTAAAAAAGCAACTTAAACTTTTTATATTTTAAGAAAAATAAATTTAACCATCAAAAGTTACTTATCATAATTATCATAATTTTTTGTTAATGTTTATTATATTTTTTGTTAATGAATGGGCAATCCTAATTTTTAATCAATAGTTATGATATTTTTTTGTTAACTATTTTTTTTTAATAGTTATCCTAGTTTTTGTACGTGAATGTTGAAAAAAAAAACTTCAAAAATTTTATTATCATATATTTTTACTATTTTCTTTGAATACAAAATTTTGTTAAAAAATTACATTAAAACGATGTCGGCTTGGCCACTGACTTACCTGACTTGAAAAAAAAATCATAAGAAACTCCAAAATTATAATGTCAACTTCATGGATTATGTAAAACAATTCATTATATCCTCTCCAAACTAATTTTTCTTAAAAAATCTCTAATAATTTTATAAAAAAGTATTAATAAAAGTAAAAACCTAACTCAATTCTATTATATTTTTAATTTTTTGTTTTCAAACAAAATTAAAGATGATGATGATTTTTTTTGTTGGTGTAAGATGATTAAACACTCACATTCATATTTATAATAGGGAAAAGCCCCAATGCCGAAACCCAATCATCCGATGGTAAGGATTCATCTGCATATAATTCTCCTTTGCGTTCTATAACTATCTATATAATCGCCCTCTCTCTTTATTCCCAAACAGAGAGAAAAACACACCGAGCAAATATGGGAATTATACTGTACCACGAGGTGCAGGAGTCCAAACTGTGCGCTTTGCATTGCGTGAACGCCGTCTTGCAGGGCCCCTTCTTCTCCGAATTCGACCTGGCGGGGATGGCGGCGGAGCTCGACCGCGCCGAGCGGCAGGTGATGTTCGCCGCCTCCGGCGATTTCGAGCCGGAGTTCTCGCACAACGTTTCCCCTGATGGCGATTTCAGCATACAGGTCGATTTTTTACTCCCTTCTTCTTATGGTAAATTATTATTTTTTTTATTGAATTATGTGTATGCATTTTTATTTATTTATTTTTTTGTTTAAATAGGGTTTTGCTTGTTTTTGGGTATTTTGACTAGTTTGACTATAGGGTTTCTTCAAGTTCTCTCCATTTTTTGCAATTTACAGCTTTTTTTTAGATGGATTTAAGTGAATCCTGTGAGAAGTGTGCTTGTGAATTGTAAAATTTGTTTAGCTCACAAGTACTGATAACTTAATGGAGTTTTTGCTGGTTTTTGGTTTAAGCTTACACCGGAAAATCGAATTCATTGCATGTGTTGGTAAATGACATCTACAGAACTCAGGTCATTGAAAAATCCTCTTGTGATATTGGGCAATTTACTGAGCAATTTTGATAGTGCAAGAACTTCAGTTTCCACTGTTAAACAAAACGAGTCGCTCGTAAGCTCGGCTCAGCTCCTTTACACTCCTAATTTCCACACATCAACCAAAAATCTAAACTTTTCTTTTTTCTTTTTTATTGGCCACAGGTTCTTGAAAAAGCCCTTGAGGTCATGGACTTGCAAGTCATCTCCCTAGACAGCCCGGTGGCCCAGCCCGCGAAAATCGAGCCTGGAGCCGAAAACGCCTACATCTGCAATCTACTAAACCACTGGTTTTGCATCAAGAAAGTCGAGGGCGAGTGGTACAATTTCAACAGCTTGTACCCAGCTCCCCAGCACTTATCCGGATTCTATTTAGCTGCCTATCTCGACTCGTTAAAGGGCTCCGGTTGGAGCATATTTCTTGTGAGGGGGAATTTCCCGGTTTTCGAGCAGCCCGAAGTGGGCCAGAACGGACCTTTTAGGGGTCGGTGGCTCTCGCCCGAGGAGGCCAAAGGGATACTCGCCCGCCGGGCCCGAACGAGATGGGATAGGCCCGGGAGGAAGAGGCGGGCCCCTATATTGGTGAGTGATGACGAGGATGATGATGATGAGTGCTTGAAGGAGGCGATTGCTGCAAGCTTGAAGGAGTCTTCTTCTTGTTCGTCTTCTTCGTCGGGGGCCCGTTTGGATGAGAACGGGCTGGAAAAAAATGGCGGGAAAGCTTGTGAGGCGAGCGAGAATCGAACAAATGGTGGTGGCTCGGAGAATGATGGGAACGGAGTGGAGAGCGATTGGAAAAGGGCTCGTGTTGAAGGTTGAGGTGTTGGTGTTGTGTTTGATGGTTTTTAGTTTAGAATAAAGAAATAAAATGAAGTATACTTTTTTTTTTTTTTTTTGTGTTCATGGTAGAAACTAGAAAGATAAATGGTGGATTATATAGTACTGCATTTTGAGGAAATGGCTCAATGAATAAGGATTATGAGTTTAGTAGTAGCTTTAGCTTGGATGTGTTTGCTTTGCCCTTTGTGTGGCACAACATTTAGTCTTTTTTGTTCTTGAGGATTTGTTTAATCCAGTCTAATTTTTAATGGTTAATGAGCCACAAGCATTGTTATATCTGCTGCTAGTCATTAGGACAAGGGACATTATGTGTTAGTAGTCTGAAAAAGAACTTGTGTTCTGGTTCATGCCTTTAAGGTCTGTAACTCTTGAGTATTTTATTTTTTGCAATTGATTTTTCTGATTTGGGTTCAGTTTGTTGAATGATGATTCTCTAGTTTTTTCTTATTTTTTTTTATTTATTTGAGATCTTCTGTTCCAAATACCATTTTCACCTTGTTTTATTATTATTATTATTATTATTATTATTATTATTATTATTATTATTATTATTATTATTATTATTATTATTATTATTATCTGAATTCAGATCAAAGTTGTGATTATAAAAGCATAGTTCTCTTATTCCACAATTCCATTACCACAACAAAGGAAATTAATAATATACTTTTTCAAGTTTTTTATTCTTTTTTCTTTTCTTCTGTACTTTTTTGATATTCTATTACTCCCTAATATATTTTAAAGAAGATTGTCATAATGAGATTAGGTTTCCCATAATGTAAAAAAAGGTTAATGTTTTACTATTATCAGTACTACATTACATTTCCAAATTACCCATTATGGGTTTTATTCCAGAAATTCTATGGTGCCCATATGGGCACCAAATGGTGCCATAATTTCACAATCCAACGCCTAATATTCATTCTATCAATTCCACAATAGATATTAAGCGTTGGATTGTGAGATTATGGCACAATATGGTGCCCATATGGGCACCATAGAATTTCTTGTTTTATTCACAATTACATATTGTTGTTAGGCAAATATAACGCTTAGACAATCATGCTTGTTAATAATATATATGCATATTTTCAAAATAAAAATTTCATATTCTACAAAATAACAAAAATATGATATTTTCATAACATACGCACGCAATTTTATTAGAAAAATATAACAGGTCTACCTACCTAACAATCACCACACAAGAATCAGTACACTACAAAAAAAATTAGTCAAAGACCCACATGCCAGCTAATGTCCCAATATACTCTACTTTCCAACTTTAATGTAATGAACTTTTATTTTCAATGGATTTGAGAAAGAAAACCATGTGAAAAAATTGGAAAAAAAAAAAAAAAAAAATCCAATTTCTCAAGCCCTACAAGATAGAACTTGAAAACCATTAACACCCACATATGAAAATTATTTCTTCAAACCCATACCTATATGTATATCATATAAACACCCAAACAACACACACCCCACTTGATAAAAAAGTGATCTTTCCCTTCCAAATAAAAAATCTGAACTTTACAACTGATATACAGAACAAACTGATTCTTCAATTCCAAATAAATCATTTTTTTTCTTGAAAATAAAATACAAATCTTTCAAACCCAGTTCATGTCTTCTAGCTGAGATTAAAATCTGTGGTTTGAATAGATTCATATATATTATTATTACAGGTTGAAATGGGTTCATCAGATCGGCTGTTCAACAGGCAGAGACAAGTTCATCAGATTCTTGGAGGTGGTCTAGGTAATTAATTAAAAAATAAAAAATAAAATTAAAAGAAAAATCAAGAAAGTTATTTTCCAATGAAAAAAATTAAATTTTGATTGCAAAAATCTTGGTATTGAGCTCTGATCATGTGCATTTGATGAATATAATTTCAAAAAGAACAGAATTTGATATTTGGATTTTTTTTTTTTTTTTTTTGTTTTTTGGGCCCTTTTTTTGATTCAACAGTTGCAGATGTGATTCTATGGAGAAAGAAAAACTTGACTGTGGGGATTTTAGCTGTAGCTTTGGCTGCTTGGATGGTTTTTGAGATATCTCATTATACTCTGCTTTCATTGGTCTCAAGTGTGTTTTTGCTTCTATTCACAATTCTATTTCTGTGGGCAAAATCAGCTGCAATTTTAAACCGGTAAACCTTATGTTTCGTCGCGCTTTCTCTGCGTATATTTTGATGTTTTCTTGATTCGCGAGCAAGGTTCAGATTGAATTTGAGGATTGATATGTTTAGTTTTATCATATTTGACATTGGCTTACTAGAATTCAAGTTAAATGGGAGTATTTTCTCAATCACTAAATAGAAGAAGTAACTGTCATTTGTTCGAAAATGAAATGTAGCTCTTGATGTGTTCAAATGTCGATTTATGCTTCTATTTTTCGTTTTCGTAATGTAGTTAGAATTTTAATTTGGAGGGGTGTTTTAAATTTCCATATCCGCTTTTCATTCGTATTTCTGTAAATAGATTTATCGCTTTTGTTAAACTTATTCAACCAATTCAATTAGCTTCTTGCAAATTTCCACCTTCGAACCTATTTTTTCTTAGTCGCGGTTAACTGTTCTGATAAAAAAGCTATTATTTTGAAACAGGCCACCACCACCTTTGCCTCATTTGTATCTCTCGGAAGAATTCACGAACGAAGTAGCAAATCTCGTTCGTGATCATGTTAACTTTGTGTTGTTTGTGTTTGAGGAAATTGCTCATGGAAGAGACTCGAGTATGTATCTCCAAGTAGCTATTAGCCTTCTAACGATCTCTATAATCGGGAGCCTCACGGATTTATTCACCTTGTGCTACGCATGTAAGTTCCGAAAGAAAAACATTTTTCGGAAAAAATATTACTAGTATCTTTATACGCCTCTTTCGTACAATGTGGTTATGTAACGGTCGTTTGCCCTTTGTATTCTAGCAGGCTTGATTGTGGTTCTTACGGTCCCAGCTATTTATGAAAGGTACGAAGATCAAATCGACACATATGTTCTAATTTGGTACGGAAAATTGCAGCAGTGGTATGCAAGGTTTGATGAAATATGCATCAGCAAAGCTCATAAATGGGTTTTGGAGAAGAAGAAATTGAGCTAGTTGGGAGAATTTTGTCCAAGTTTGTTGTTGTTTTGATTATAATCTTTTACTATTTTTTTTTCTTTTCATTTTTGTGTTTGTGGCTTGTTGTGGCTGTTGCCTGTTGTTATGTTTTGTTTTTTTAAACAAACTTTAGCTCTCACAGAATGAAATTTATAAAAAATGGAATTTGCTAAAGACCATCTGTGAAAAAAAAAATAATCAAAAAATACATTTTCTTTCATCATAGTCTGGAATAATATTGGTAGATGATATATAAACTACACAACAAAACTAGAAATAAACAAACACATACAGACTGCATTTTACAAAGTTTCAAAACCAAAACTAATAATACACAACCAAAGAGTACATATTCATCCAACACACAATTCATTTCAGCTTCTACAACAAAATCAACAAGAACAAATGAAAAAAAATTCTATGTAAACAATTATTATCCTCAGATTTAAAATATCATCAGCTTGGCCAATCGAAAAAAAAAAAAAAAAAATAACGTTTAATCCTGCCATCCGAACCCGGGTGGCGCATCACGATTATTACCGTCACCGGAATAGGAGTGAGGTGGCGGCAAAGGTGGCGGAGGAGGAAGCCCGATCGGTTGGGCCGCCAAGATTCCTTTACCATCCATTGGGCCCACGCTTTTATTGCCTGTCGACTGAGGAACGTTCAGCGGCATAATACCCACATTCGGCCCATAATCGCCCTGAAAGAATCGTCTGCCTTGAAAGTCGACATTCGTGAAGCCATCCGAAGGCCCCTGAGTAACCAAGGGAGGTTCCAGAGGCACGGTGCCAGGGCCCATGTTCCACGGCTGAGGATAATTTGAAGGGAAGGTAATGGGCCTGGCGGGCCCAGTCGGGTAGCCCAACAACGAGCTCTGTCCTGGCCCATGGTCTTGGGTGGAATCAGGCCTTGGCATCCCATATGGAGTACCAAAGAACTGTTGTCCACCGCCAGATGCATAGGAAGGAAAAGGAAATTGAGGGGGAGCAGCCATGATCGAATTTGGATTACCTGGAGAAAACAAAAATATGAGGTCATTGGAAATTCATATTATGTACTTGAGGAAAAGAGATTCGATTATAAATTATTTAGTTTTAGATGTTAATTACGAAAAAAAAAAAATATCTCAAGCAATCGAGCCTTCACCGCCTTGTTTTAGGGTGTAATCAGGGAACTAGAAAACAAAAAAGGCAAAAATGCATTTTTATTTTTAGTCCTGTTGGTTTAACAACATAGCAATTTGTCCAAAGTTTCCAACTTTTCGTCTTTTGGTCTTGTGATTCAAAATTTTACTGCAAGGTTTTAGTCCTTTGGGGACTGAAATTGCAACAAAATCTTAAATTATATAACCAAAAGGCGAAATGTTGAAAACATGGGACTAAAATTGCTATGGCGTTAAACCAGGACTAAAAAAGCAATTTTGCCTACAAAACATAAGGGTATATTTGCAAATTGGAAACTAAACTAAACTAAACCCATTGATATTTTCCTAAATTAATCCATATTAGAAGTCTAATTTTTTGCCTTTTTTTTAAGTTACTAATTCGAGATTATCCGTTTTAGACTTTCTCGTCAAGAAACTGACCCGAGTCTTGACGTGGGCCGCCTTCCTGGCCCTGAGAGTCAAAAGTCTGCTGAGGAAAGTGATTCTGTGTAGCAGCCCTATCAGCCCCCCCGTGCGACTGATTACTACTACCCTCGAAGTGTTGTTCTGATGGATGATTCAGAACTTGACTGGAAAAATTCTGCACAGGCATCGGTTGCATAACGGGCCTCTGGTTTTTGTCTTCACGGTCATTAACCTGAGGGTTAGAACGGGGAGAAGAAACCAGTTTAGCAGGCGCCTGAACCGTAGTCTCGGAAGCCAAGGGTTTTCTGGCACTTAAGCCCTCCGACTCGTTCACATCCTTTTGCATGTTTGGGTTAAGGAGATCAGCATGGGCCCCACGGATGTGTGACTCGAATTCAGACTTCTGCAAGAAGGACTTGAGGCAGTGGGGTGCCGCACATATAAATATCCTTTCCATCATTTTGATCGTCTGAATCTTTTGAACGCGTTTGTCACAACTGAGTTTTACCAGAAGATGAATGGCAAAGGGAAAGGAAGAAAAACCATATTTATCAGATTATTAAAATGTTAACAATGAAACTTTCTCATGACAAGTAGGTATACAGTAAAATTTAAAATATGCCTTACAGGTAACAAAGGGAATCACTTCTAGCACAGTCCAAACAGAAGGCATGCTCGCAGGGGCTCTGCAGTGACAAAAGTAAGTTTTTTCAATGCACTGGCATGAAAACTCATGTTCAGAAAAATCGCACGGTATGTTGAGAAAGCACATTTTTTCCAATAATGCTTCAAACAGACAAAAATGATGATCCTTACACGAGGAACACGAAAGGATATTCATCTTTTATTTCATCGCATAGAAAAAAAAAAATTAACATTTCACAAATTACGATCAGAAAATCATAACAGCCATGCATGTTTTGTTGGTCGACAACAGAGGCAGAGGCACCAACTGCATCAACTATGGTTGTGTTTGGATATCATATAAGCTAGCTTACACCTTATTTGATAGCTTCAAATAAGTCTGGTTTGGCAGACGAACTTATTTAAAAGCTCGAGCTTATCTCATAAGCTTCTTTGTTAGCTTTTCAAATAAGCCCATTGAAATTTTGATTTCAGCTAATTTTAGCAAACACTTTTACCATATAAGTTAGGTTTTCATCCATAAGTCATAAGCTATCGGCTATGAACTCGAAATTCACTTCAACGCTATAAGCTACCTTATCGGGTAGGTTTACTAAATATAGCCTATGTTTATCAAAAGCAATAATACTTGAGAAAATAATGATAGAGATTGAGAGAGTGCTTACCAAACGCCCATAGATAGCAATAGGAAAGTCACACCGGACACAAAAGTGAACACGCTCGCCAAGCTGCCGACGGGACCTCCGTCCAACAGTCTTAATAACAGCAGTCGAACATGGTAAACCGAGACTCTTGGCTACAGGAAGATCAGCTAAGACAAGATGGTCAGGACATGCAACTGTGACAGAGTCCAAAGGCACGGGTTTCACAGTCGAACCACTTTCACTAGCTGGTTTACTCAGCCGAATCTGCAGCATTTTGTATCTCTAACTATTTCCACTTTGAACTTAAAGATGGGTGTTGATTCTCCCTTCCCTGATACAAAATTAAATAAAAAAACCCCGCCGAAAAAGTATATTCGGGGGTAAAAGGTTTGCTCTTAGTTTCTAAATAGCCCGCAGAAGATGGGAATAAATGATCTCACATGATATATCAATTTCAGTTCAGCCAACTTCAAACTAAGTACAATCAACTTTGAGTAATTAAAGGCCATATATTTATCTATCTACTGTCGATAGGACAATAATCCAGAATGTAATCTTATCACATATGACATAACAGAAGCACTTAATCGTTTTTTCCGAAGAAGATAAACAATACCACTCTATATAACGAAGAAAACTATTCTTGACACACAATATCAAACTGGCCCATACTCCTAAAGGCAACATACGGAGAGCATCCAGCTAACATCCATAATCCAATTACAGTTCGTGTACTATAAATATGATTCGGAAAAAAACAATCAAACTAATGGATAGCTGCAAATCAATATTGCAGGATAGCAGAATCAGAACACCACCCTCGAAAATTCATTGGGTAAAATCACAGACACGCAGGAAAAATTCAGCATCTATATGTGAAATCTCTATCGCAATGTAATCCACAGGCAAATCAAATGCACACACAAATCAAATCCACAGAAAACTTCTGGACTATATGCAGATTCAAGATGTTTACATATCTCATGAGAACACCAAATTTACCTGTAAAGAAATTAATCGGAGCAAATTTTGTGTCCGGATAAACCCTAGCGCGAATGAGGAGATTTTGGGAATTAGGATATTTGGGTGCATGTGCCAACCACCGGTGGAATGATGGGCCTATGTCCATCAGGCCCAAGCCCATGGTTCCGAAATGACCCCTTCTGTCTCTTCTCATGGCGATGCGTCATTTCGACCAGATTTTGGGTTTGTATATGGTTTATTCATGTTTCGATCTTTTCAATTTTGTCACTCCGGCCAATGAATTTTCGGATCGTGTATATCGTAGTTGAATAATCATGATGTTTTATTTGTTAATGCGTATTATTATATTATATTTATTTTTTTTGGTACAATGATGAAAGCCGGAGGCCTAGAATCTATGATGCAATGGGGGTGGGCCACCCCACTAAAGTCGTGGTCAATCCAAGCAGGCAACCATTGGGGGGTGACGAGATCTTCTGGAAGCCTAGCGGGAACCGCTAGAGACGCCATAAGGTCTTGGGATAATTTTTTTGCTTTACTGCACAAAAACTCTGATTTTTTTTATCTTGTCATTTTTCTCTTATACACGGTTCTGTCGCGCCGCCAACGCCAGTTGTCGATCCCAAAATCAAGTCGTTATCGCGATCGGTCAATTTGATTGCGAGAGATGTTATGTGTGATATGTGCATATAAGATATTGTTTTATTATTTTTTTTAATAATATATTTTTATTTTTTGTGGATAATGAACAAGAAAATATCCATTGCTCATATCACTGAAAAAAAATGAGTTTTATTCATGAATTATTATGTTCAATTAAAATTACTAATTGTGTCTCATCAAATAATTTCAAATATTGATTGCCGGAACCGTGACTTTTGCTCCTTTCTCCTTTCTCTTTTGCTCCGATCTTCTTCTTTTTTTTTTTTTTT